CTTGGATCTCATCTTATTAAAAAGTTTTTGCACATCAAAAGAAATCACCAACAGACTGAAAAGAAAACCTATGAATTGGGAAAAAAAAAATTAGCCAGCTGTCCCTCAGACAAAGGACTTCTATCTAGAACATAGAAAAAGTTAAAAAAAAATCAGGCCCCCAAAATTCAAACACCCAATCCAGAAATGGGCATCTAAGATGAACACACACTTCTCAGATGAAGAAATACTAGTGGCAAATAAATATACGAAAAAACACTCAACTTATTGGTTATTTGAGAAATGCAAATTAAAACAACACTGAGATTCCATCTCACTCTAAAAAGAATGGCTACCATCAAGAAATCAACCAATAACAACGATGGCAGGGCTGTGGGGAAAAAGGAACCATTCTTCACACTTGGTGGTAATGCAGAAGGTGAAACCACTGCAGAAGTCAGTATGCAGATTCCTCAGAAAGCTAGGACTAGAGATCTAATCCCACCCAGGTATTTCCCTTTTGGGTATCTTCCCAGAAAAACTGAAAACATCATACCACAGTGATATATGTGCACCCATGTTTATAGCAGCACAATCTGTAAGACCTAATCTTGGAAACAACCCAAATGTCCATCAACTGAGGAATGGATAAAAAAGATGTGGTATTTTTGTACAATGGAGTACCACTTAACCATAAAGAAGGATAAACTTGAGAGTTCTATAGGTAAATGGATGCAATATGAGACCATGCTCATAAGTGAAATAAATCAGACTCACATGTGTAAATATCACATTGTCTCCACGGTATGAGAAACTGAAAGATTAAATAAGGTCTAAAATGTACAATAGTTATTGTGAAATGGGAAGAAATTGTTCAAAAGGAAAACGGAACTAGGATAGGGAAAAGGAGAAAGGAAGGAAAAAGAAAAAACTGCAGGTTATAATACTAGTGTCTCTTAGTTCACTGAAAAGGAAAGTTCATGCTATTATCAATTGGAGAATTTTTTATGCCCATATATTGTACTCTGAGTAACTACATTAAAGATAACAACATGCAATGTAAGCCGGGTGTGGTGGCGCATGCCTGTAATCCCAGCACTTGGGAGCCTGAGGCAGGAGGATCGTTGGGAGTTCAAAATCAGCCTGGGCTACAAAGTGAGCTCAAGGCCAGCCTGAACTGCATAGCGAGACCCTGTCTCAAAAAGACAAAACAAAACAAAACAAAAAAGAAATTAGATAT